TCCCGGTGTAAGGACACACAGAAACTCCCTTGTCTTCAAAGAAACACAAGTGACAAGTTGCACAAAGCCTAAAGCGTTTCTTTCATAGGAGAAGGAGAAGAGTCAAAGACAAAGCTGCCCACCACTGCTTTCTGGTTAAATGTGATTCATCTTTTACTACTATGACAGAACAAAAAAATCAGTCTGAAATTAATTCCAGCACTGGTATTAAGAATGTCTGGCACATTACAGGAAACGCTGGCGTTCAAGTATCTGCATTCCCATACAGAGACAAAAGTAATGCACATAACACTGTGCTCAAAACATTCAGAGACAGCATTAATTAACGTGTCAGATGCCACTGAGCTTCACAAAAGTCAGCGCACAGAACATTGGATTTATCCCCATTTGAAATGTCTTGTTTGACTTCTTTGAAGGCACTGGATGAGGTCACTGTCTCAAAATGAATTTCCAAAGTTCCACCTTCAGAACCAAACCTTTGTGCAGAGATGTCCTTAGTACATTCCATGTGACTTCCTGCTGTATCAGCCGTAACGGTGCACAGCGTGGCACGTCTTATCATTACCAGTCATGTAGAAAAATGAAATACTCAGTGAACTAATTAGAGGAGCAGCTGTTTTCAACACCCATGTGTTAGACTGCGATAACATTTCTAGATGACTGAAAATAGCTGCTCCTCAATTCACTCACAAGGTGCCCAATATTTCCTGATCTAAACCGCCAAGATGTTTCATTGTAACACAAACAGAAGAAATTTGGAGCAAGAAAATGAGGCGCATGGTATTGATTTGTACTGGATTAAAGTTAAAATAAAATGAAACAAAGACAATATTTTGACTTTCGTGTATATAAACATCCATATGTTGTGTCAAATAATCTCAAATGACATCAAAATGTTATTTTGAACTTTCAGTGACAAGTAATCAAGTAATTGAAGCAGAAATTAAAGCATCTCAAAGCTTTTTTTTAATTATTTAATTAAATTCTGACATTTTGTGAATCATTTAGGTGAGATCCTTGCACTTCAGAATTAGCTGTTCAACTGCAAGTTTTGACAGCTCCAGGAATTTTCTCAAAGACGTGTGTACAACTCTGCTCCCCTGGTGAGGAGGGACGGAAGCACCGCTAACTGCCAGCAGCTCGAGTGCGTCTGATTAATTCACTCTCATGAGGTGGCAATGCTCTCACTAATGCTTCAGGAGATGGAGTTTGGGCATGTTGATCTGAAGGCAGAGCACTGACATCACTTCAGTTATTCCAGAAAGGCACACGAGTATTTTTAAACAGTCCTGACTGACAGCCTTCATAATCCTGAGTATCTGCACATTAATTTCTGTGATGACAAATCCTTCTCCTAGCAAGACTCTCCCATGTCTCTACAACAGCAAAAATAAAGCAGCTGGAACCTACCAGGTCTCCTTAGCAGAACTGAGATATTCAGCACGACGTACCCAAGGATGAGGTCCTCTGCCCTCACTGCTTACCTCGTTATTTCATTGTGAGGATGAACAACACGAATGGTTTGGTGATAACGGCACGTTCACTACGGATTTCCCAACAATGATTGCCCAGACTGCTAGCAGTGCTAAAAGCCACTGCTGAAACAATTCCAAATACTCCAGCTTTGAGAAAAGCAATGAATACCAACTTTCCAGCTCTCCAGCACAGATAGCACAGTTCTGTGATGTTGGCCTCCTCATGTGGCGCACGAGATGCAGACAGTGCTCAGTGCTCCTGGGAGAGAGTTGCTTATGCAGAAAACATCTCAAAATCACTTAGCCAGATAACGCCATTATTTAAAAGGCATTATTAGTAACATGGAGACAGAATCTACATGAATCCACATCAGAGATATAAATGGAATCTCTGACTAGTCGCCTGCAACTTAAATAACACAGATCTATTTTTTAAAGGAACACTGCCCCGTTTTTTTTTTTGATATTCAGAGAAGTGAAAGTTAGATACAGTGAATGGAGAGGGCTGCCTTAAAGAATGGCATCAGCTCTGCAATACCTTTAGAACATCTTTCAAGCAGATAGAAGCTGTCCGATTAAATTACCATTGGCACCTTTTGCAAGAAAACGTCTTATTCCTCAGCAGTTTCATGCCTCCTCATTACAGGTTTCTTTCCTGTGCATTTTTAATCCAGAAAAGTTAAATTCATATCCAAATGAAAAGAGGGAAAAGCTGACAGGCATTGGAGCCAGTGAACAGCCATGGTTGGAGGGACCTCTGTTCCAAGGCCATGCCCTGTTGTCTGAGTAACTCCAAAAATGAAACTTTAAAGCCTAGAGCCTCACAGTAAAAGTGCTTTCCTACATTCAGGTGAAATTTCACTTGTTTCCATTGGTGTCTACACAATAAAAGAGACTGAGCTCTCAGCTGGCCAAAATTGACATTGCTATATTTATTTATTGGGAATTCAGTTCACTTTAGATAATGGCTCCACAATTTAACAGTAGGAAGTTAACCGATATAGAAGCATGGTAGAAGCAAACAAAAATACATCCTCAGTAAGGTTTGTACTAATTAAGCAGCATTATCAAAGCTGAGTAAGAGCTAGTTGAAGATCTCAAGATTCAGTCCCCATTCTACATAATTACAACACAAAGATTTTGTAGCAGGGAGCCCTCATGGCTCAGAGACAGGTGTTCTGTAGCTGTTTGGAGCTCGCAATATATTTTTTTTCCATTTGTCTTTTCCAAATTTTAAATGAGTTAACTGAAACCAATCAAAATATATTCTGCAACCATGCAAAAAGTAAACACAGATACATAGTTAAACATTCAATATACTGTAACGTGATGAAAAGCACAGCAATGGCAGCATAGGAGCAAAATCCTAGGTTGCAGCAAGTGAATGTTCAAATGCAGCAACTGTAGACACAGAAACAAAAGAATGTGCTTACCCTTGGAAGGCCTCAGGTATGCAGGGATCTCCAGTGAGATACCCTCACCTCCACTGCCAACCCTTAAATGAGGGCTGGGAAGGGATGGATCCTGGCTCCAGCCCTTCCAGTCATTCAGGTGTATTGCCTGGGCTGGCCCTGCCTTCCCACCAGGTGCTCCATCACTGCTTCAAGCCCTGACTTAGCATTTCTGCTACATATGCTATTGCAATTTGGTTTTGTTTTCAATTACACAATATATATAGTACAAACTGTGTACATCACGTAATAATTTGTATCAAAACTCCTACAAGCCAGAGCATCTTGGCAGATGTACTGATACCACGACACCATTTGGATAAAGCACGACACAGTGGAGCCCTTCATTCTGCCACAGAGCAAGTATTTGTTTGCAACAGCTTTTAACTTTTTTGCATACAATCACCTTTTTCACTGATACAATCCTAGCAGTATCACATTTTAGAATCCTAGCATAGATCACATTTTAGAAGAAAGAAGTAATATATATATATATATAAAAGCTGCTCTTAGTAGAAAGAAGCAATAGAGACTATGGAGAGGTTGTCCCAATAGTGCTGCATGTTGCTCGCTCCTCCTTTTGTACTTATTCACTTCTGTTTGAGTGCCTGCCTTGCAAACAATCTCTTTTCCTTCTGTTCAAAATGCCATTAACAACAAAAATACAGCAAACCTTCGGAAACATCGATATTGCTATCATTGCTTGCTTTTATTTTAATTGATTGCAATATAACCTTTTCAAGTAGATTTACAACTTATTAAGTGAGACAAAACCTTCAAGTTCAACTTCATTGTTCCCAAGATGGGAACAATTCATTGATAAGTAAGATTGCACTGACATTTTGAAGCTGCTCCAGTACACTTCTGACTGTAAGACACTTGGATTTCTGTCTCGTGGAAGGAGCAAGCCCCACCATCCAGGCCCTCAGATGGCTGTGGAGCTGGGACCTGCCCTCAGCTGCACTCGTGTACATCTGTACCAGCACCATTTGTTTCAGCAGATTTCAGCTGACATAACTAAAAGCAACACTTGTTTTAAAATGAATGGGGGAGTGTCAAAGAACTTGCAATTTAGCTCTCTCCACACTATATTGTCAGTTAATCCATTCAAATGACTCTTTTTCCCCTTTTTGTTCAGGCAATGGGATGAAAATCTAGATACTGCTGCTTGGCACCCTTTCAGAATCAGTCCATGCATGTGCATCCATTAAACAGCTCTGATCACAAGAACATTACTATTTATCAAGGAGAAGAAACTGAGCATCTACTTACTAGTCACCCGTGGCTGCAGACTTCTAGGTGGTGACCATTTTGATTCACAACAGTTTTTCACATTGCAGATTCCTTAAATGGGAAGAGAAAGAGTGAACTTTAATTAAGTATGGTCAAAGAGGGCCCAGTTTAAAGCAAGTAGGTCAGCGCTTCCTTTGAGAACACTGCTTTGAATGAAGTCATTACAGCAGTGCTTATGCACCAAGCTGCCTATCTTTTAATTTACACTTTCTACACTTAATATAAGCCCAGCCTAACCAGTTAACTTCAAAATGCATGAAGTGAAATGAAAGTAACTGAAAAATGAAAAGAAGAAGGGCAAAGTCATGCCTCCAAACTGGGAGCTTCCAGCTGCCGACCAGCTCACACAGCCACAGCCTTTTTATGAAAGGCTGATCATCTCGTGAAACCAAATTTGTCCTTACACAAGGCCTGCTCTGATATCTTGAAACTTACCATGGATCACAGTGAATAGAAGTTATTACAATAGATATTTGACCCTGAAAGATAAATTGTATTGACATCCTTCTAGTAATGCAATAGAAATAGAAAAATAACAAAAAACTGCTATAAACAAATGAGCCTATAAGACAATTTAGAATGAAACTACCTGACTCAGTAAGGGGACCAGAAGGCATTCTGCATCTTATGCAAAGTTCTCCAAAATTAATTTTCAGAAACTCCAAGTAGACTTTTCATCACTATTTAATATCAGTGCCAGCAGAATACAAAAGCATTGCCAAGTTTTGTGTGACTCCTCCTCACTCAACGCTGTAAGCAGATATGAAAGAAGCAGATCAGAAGCTCAGGGAAAAACAAAATCTCTCTTAACCCAGATTCACCTTGAGCTCAATAGAGTTTGGAAAAGCCCTCTAAGATCCCCAAGGCCAACCCAACCCACACCCACCATGCCCACTGACCATGTCCCTCAGTGCCACTTCCATACTTTTCTGATGCTGAAGAAAGAGGAAAGAAACAGCCATACTGCTCAGTTGGATAAATGATGGGCAAGAATTAAAAACGCACTGGGCTGGCCTAGTCATGAAGGAGGAACTGCATGTTTGTCATACAAACCTGTTCTTACAAGATATTTGTTTTCCAAGTTGTAAAAGTGTTTTGAAAAACTAAAGAAGATTCAACTGAAACTTTCTAGAATAGAATATCAAAATAACTTCTCATTTAAACGTTCTATATCTCCTAACAAATTTAAAGGCAAGCATTTGGATTATATCAGAATGAAATGGCTCCACTGACCACTTCTCAAAGGTCCACTTCTCACCCAAAGAATCCAGTGATTCTGGAAGAAATTCTACAGTCTTTGTTCCAAAGAAAATTTCCTCCAGAACTGAAATTCCCCATTTGCCCAGCTGCAGTTTCCAGGCAACCAAACCTCCAGTAAAGAGGATGCCTGAGGCAGGCTGTGGCTCCAGCACAGCTCCCCAGAGAGTTGCAGGGTGCTCAGCACACAGAAAAAAAGGATGCATGTGGGAAGGAGAAGGTGTCCTAAGCAGCACAAACCAAGTCTGGACAACCTGATATTGTAAATGCAGGTGGAAATTAGAGAAAAATACATAAATCTCCCTATGAATGGAGCTACTCACTAAATAATGAAGCCTGTTCATTTACAGACTAGCACAATTTAATCTCATCCCTTGGCAGCTGCATGGCACGCAGATAGCCAGTACCAGCCACCCACACCCACAGCTAGGCGTGATCCAGGACAAGAAGATATCTCAGAGGGGAGAAAAGGACACATCAGAAATGTTCTTATTCAGTATTTTTAGAATAAAGACATTAAGGAAAGTACCAATATCTAAAAGCCTTGTATTAAGGACATTCTACTACAGAACACTGTTGCTTTGTACAGCACCCCTAGGGGAAAACTGTCTTCTAAAAGGCTTTTAAACAATATTTATAGGCCCAGTAACAATAATACTTGCAAGCCTTTGAAAACCAGCCTATTGCTCTTGGCTAGCCTCCTTCGTTATTTCCCCATTGTGTGCAGCACAATGGCCTTCTATCAGGTTCCCTGCAAAAAAACTATTTAAAAATAAGCTGGAAAATCATATACTTTGAAGACAAGAAATGCCTAAAACAGGTTGGCCTTACCACCTTAATTTCACTTGTTTTTATGCATATAAAATGATCAGTCTCTAATTGTATGATATTGTCACTGTGGCCTAGGCCTGAAGCAGAAGCCCTGTGACAATCAAAGCAGTGTGTAAGGAAGCATGCTGCAGATACCAAGTGTGCAGGAGCTCCACGCAGTCATTAATTGCTTTTTCTAAGCACGGCAAGAAAATTGTTCATTTCAGAGTCACTGCCAAATTTCTACCTTCTGCACAAGATTCCCAAAGCATCAGAATGTTCTAAACTATCATAGTAATGTTTAGCCATAGAATCATAGAATCACCATGGTTGGAAAAGACCTCAGAGATCATGCAGTCCAGCTGCCCGTGGCCCACCAGTATTTCCCCACTAGGAATCACTGAGGATGGAAAAGAGCTCTGAGATCACCAAGTCCAACACCAACCCAGCACCACCAGCATCTAGCCATAAATAAGCTACTTCTCATTGACCTTCAGATGCTGCTCTGATAGTTATGAAACAAATTAAGAGACAAAAAAAAAAAGACTACAAAATAAGCATGGAACGTTTCAGGTAAGTGCCTGCCTGGCCCACATCACCACTAACACTGCACAGCCAACCTGGGAACGTCTCAGCATCCTTCCTCACACGGACTGATACTGTTCTGCCTATCAGCCAGAGAGCAACAGGTCTACCCATGGAAATTCAGTCCCCAAAAAAGCAAACACGTTGTACACAGCTAGTGAACAAAGTCATTCTCTTTTAAATTTAACTTTTCATTAAATTTTAATTAAGAAAAGGATTAAACAGGAAACAAGAAAACAGTAAAAGTCTAATACATCTGTTTACTGAAGTGGTTTAGTGAGATAAATGACTGAGAACTCGTTTCTGTGAGTGGCAATGATACTTCAGCAGGTATCTGTACCCCCAGCAACAGCTGTACCTGAGACACACCAGGATTCCTTCCCACACACAGCTCCCAGTGCTCCTGCCCAGCAGAGCCTGCCCCTGGCTGACACCTCGCCTCTCTTCATTCAAAACCTTCAGGCAGAGCTGAAGTGTCCTCAGGATATGATAAATGTGAACATGGAGAAAATCACCCCAGTGTTCTATTCTCCTCTTCACAACAAGCCATTCCTGGAGGCAGGTTCCACCTGGGAGCACGGTGCCCAGCAATCAGGTTCTCACAAAAACAGGTATCTCACACAGCAAGCTGCTCCAAAGGGCCGAGCCCTGCAGCTACTTAGAGCCATTCTTTCTCCAGGATGAACTGTTTGCTTTCTAATGCCCCGCACTGATTTACAGCCCTTAAAATGAAAAGTGAACCAGGCTGTGAGACGTATTTCCCTGTGATGCTGCGCCCTTCCCAGTCAGGGTACAATAAGGGCAGCTGCTGCCAGCACAAAGGTTTTCAATGCACAGACAACTTGTTTTATACCATAAATCGTCTCTTATGGATTAAGTGATAAATATAGATGGTTACCACTGGAGAGCATTATAAATTGGATCAGCTTTGTCAATGTGGCAGGGCCTCATTCTTACATACTCTACTACTTACAACATGTAAGTGGATTACTAATGATCATGAAAGACTTCTAGCCACTTCTTGACACAGTTTGTTCACAACTGGCAAATCCCAGAGCAGTGGCACAAAGCAGGGGAAACCAGCCTCGTGACAACTGCCCTCTGTTCTTATCAGCGCACTGCACCGTTACAGTCAGCGCATTTGCAGAAAGCCATTTATTTGTCTTACATTTGCAGAAAGTAAGAAAGTTCGAATAGGGCTTTAGGAAGCAGCAAAGCCATTTTTAATTCCCTCACTGCTGTTTGAGGAACAGAACTTTCCCAAGGACAGCCAAGCTCATTAGAGAACGGCACTTCCTGTAAGCACCAGTAGATGAATGCTCTATTTTAGGTATTGCCACTTTTCAGCGGGAGACAGAACGCTGTGTGTGATGTAATACAATGGGGATGGAAAAGCAGCACAGCACTGCTAGCCTCTGCTTTCCTAGCAAACCAAATACAAGCTGTTGGGAAGTCATTATCAAAATTAATATGTCACACTTTCAGATATCAAAATGTGAGGAACTGAAGCAGAGCATTACAATCTCAGACGATCGTAGAAACAACACAGTGTGAAGCACTACCAAACATTGCTTTCTGAGTACAAGAGAAAATATTTAATATACCATCTAATATAATAAAAAAAAAATAATCAGATGCATTCGTAAGGAGGATCCTAATGAGGACTCAAACCTAAGAGAAAAATCTGGCTTAGCCCTTAAAAGCAGAAGCTGCTGCCTTCTGTTAGCAGAAAGTTCACCTGCAGTTTTTTACACGAGTTTGGAAATTAAGTACATCACACACAGAATGGAATTTATCTGAAAACAATCAAGGAATTGCACAGTTGAGCAGAACCAATCCCTTTTTTTCAGATGAACAGTTTTCATTGTCACAGGAAAAAAAAAGAAAAAAAAGAGAAGTCTTAAAATAGCTATTCTTTTCAAAAGGTTTCAAGTAGAAGCTGCTAAACAAAATGAAAACGTAAAATGAGCAAATGAAACTATGTTTCTCATTTTGTCCCATTCTTCAATGGGTTAAGATTCAGAAAATAAGTATTGAGGCTCTGAGCGGTAACAAAGCCTGCTTTGCTATGGAAACACACTTTTTGCTGAATGTCCTGTTGGTCAACAGAAGCTTTTTCTGCAATGGGGACACGTATACAGTCACTCTGCTTTGAGCTTCTCTCCTGTACAGCTTTACTTTGCAACCCTTGTCCTTAGTGGCACCGTGAGGCCACTGCAGAGCTTCCTTTCCTTCTGTCCCCAGATGTGATCCCGAGGTCCCAGCAGAGAGCTTGGGGGCTGCAGGCCCTTCTGAGCACTTGGCCTTACCTCGAGGTACTGAAGTGCCTGCCAATAGCCGGCTGGACTGGAACCTCCTGGGAACCTTCAGAGCAGTCAGCCCACGACTGGAGGCGGATC